TCCTTGAATGATACCAGGGGATCCATACAAAATACCACTAGTGATGCTGGAAACTGTCTCAAAAAGCAGAGAAAAGTCATGACATTACAAGAAAAAGCTGAATTGCTTGATATGTACCGTAGAGTGAGGTCTGCAGCTGCAATTGCCTGCCGTTTCAGACAGACCATCTTGTCAATAGATGATGTATACTTACTGTGTTGATAAATATAGTATAGTACTGTGAATGTACTTTTCTCTTCCTTATATTTTCTTAGTAACATTTTCTTTTCTCTAGCTTACTTTATTGTAAGAAGACAATATACAATATTTGTATTATATATATATATATCATACAAAATATGTGTCAATTGATGGTTTATGTTATTGGTAAGGTCAGCAGCAGGCCATTAGTAGTTAAGTTTTTGGAGAGTCAAAAGTTATCTGTGGATTTTTGACTGTATGTGGGAGTGCTTGTGATATTTGGTGCATACTCTCTACGCCACAAATAAAAACGGTAGTTTGGAAAAGGACCAATCTTAGGTAATGGTGAAAGAATGAAGCCACACTACTGAATCTCCCCAATACAACAAAGTAAATTAAAAGGAATTAGAAAGAAAAAAAAGGCCAAAATTTAAACCCTAAATCTAAATGAAAAATTTAACTCAGGAGCCAAAGGGCTGGAAATAGAATCTGCTAAGAGAGAACTTCAAGGATAAAATATTTTTCTTGGTCTATGATGAAATTTATTCAGTTACTCTAGATAACTGTGGTCCCAAACAGTAATTTCTGAGGTTGGAGCACTTCCTGAAAGGATGCAGTATAGGCTTGGAACCAGCTACCCGTATATGGTACTCTGTCTCCCATAACCAGAATCTATTGAATCTGGGAAACTGTCTAGCAAGGCTAATAGATCTGGATGGTAAAAACAAGTTGACACATTTTAGATTCAGATAGTCTATCACTTACACAGGCAACAAAAACAAAAAGAGCAAAAGTGCTAGCTCTCCATGTCCTTTGTTCGCCAGGATAGCACTGAAAGAAAAGGGGCTGAATGACATCTAATGCAACGTGAGTGATGGCCCACATTCATGTTGTGGCTAGCAGTTTTACGGCCTGCAGTTGTACCTTAGTGGTGGTGAAACAGAAAGCCTCAGACCTCATCAGAACTTAGGAAATGATGAATGTCATGGTAGCCTTCAAAAGATGAGCAGGAGAGTGGGGAATGGCCTTCAAGCAGCTCCTCTCATGCCTTCCTTGTGCAAATGTTCTGGAAAGACCACAAGTATTCTGTCAAGACTTAGATCAGATCAGCTGCAGTTAAGCCCCGCCTCTGGGGTCTATGTGGAGACCTGTATGGGAGGCCAGAATATGCCACCCTAGAATGTGCCTCTTTGGCATAAGGATTATTTTGAGAAATAGTAGACATAGGAGAAGCTCTAAAAACACAGTAGAAGTTACTCCTTTGTTAGGGAACTTTACATTTACAAAGGAAATATCCATTCATAAGGATATCTCCCTCTCTGTCCCAGGAAGAGAAGGATGATTCTAAATCACAAGGGACTCTTATCAATGGAGAAGACACCTCAGATCTGCACAGCAAACTTTACTCTTGTTTACCATGCGCTTCCTGGTCATCCCTATAACTGGTTTTCCCATACTCTTCTTTCTTTGTCTTTAGCTGGAGATGGTATTTAAGTTTGAAGTCTCAGCCACCTCTTGGAGAGTTATTCATCTCTCTGAGTATCTCTCATATATACACACATATATATACACACATATAGATAACTATGGTCCCAAACAGTCATTTCTGAGGTTGGAGCACTTCCTGAAAGGATGTAGTATATGCTTGGAACTAGCTACCTGTATATGGTACTCTGTCTCCCATAACCAGAGTTGGATGTATATACATATGTATGTGTGTATATATATAGAGAGATATGTGTATATACATATATATCTCTCTATATATGCTAATAAACTTCTGTTTTTCTCTTGTTAACCTGTCTTTTGTTACAGGGGCCCCAGAGGATCTAGGTAGGGGAAACTTAGAAGGGTAGCAGAAAAATTACTTTTTCCTCCTTTACACATGCAAATACACCAGGGTGCCCTGGCAGAATCATTTTCCAACATAACCAAGAATTGTCAGAGGTTTCAGTGCTCAACTGAGGAATGCTTCCAACCCCTAAACCAATTACGATTCCATAAATTGAAAGTTGGAGATGCTATGGAGCCACCACAGGCTTCCTGATGCCACTGGGTAAAAGGTGAAAATGATGCTATCTAATATTCAGTATGGTAATCAGTGACATAATTATACATAAATAACAGTAGCTTTCTGTAATAGGCAATAATCAGTAATAAAATTCAATGGGAAAAGATTACTTTCACAGTAACAACAAAAAGTATGAAACTGAATAATTGGGAATATATAATATGATCCTTTATAGAAAGACTTCATGTTATCAATGATAAGTTTCATTCCAAATTATTCAATAAGAGAACTTGATAAGAAAAGTTCATTATTAAATTTTTTTTATTAATGATCCATTTATTTACAATTAAAAAAACTTTTAGGTTCAAGGATACATGTGAAGGTTTGTTATATAGGGAAACTCTTGTCAAAGGGGTTTGTTGTACAGGTTACTTCATCACCAATAGGTATTTTTTCCACTCCTCTCCCTCTTCTCATCTTCCACCCTCAAGTAGACCCTAGTGTCTGTTGTTCCCTTCATTGCGTTCATGAGTTCTCATCATTTAGCTCCCACTTATAAGTGAGAACACGTGGTATTTGATTTTCTGTTCCTGTATTAGTTTGCTAAGGATAATAACTTCCAGCTCTATCCATGTTCCTGTGACATGATCTCATTCTTTCTTATGGCTGCATACTATTCCATGGTGTATACATACCATATTTTCTTTATCCAGTCTGATATTGATGGGCACTTAGGTTGATTCCATATCTTTGCTATTGTGAATAGTGCTGCAATGAACATTTACATGCATGTGTTTTTATGGTAGGATGATTTATATTCCTTTGGGTATGTACCCAGTAATGGGATTGCTGGGTGGAATGGCAGTTCTGCTTTTAGTACTTTGAGGAATTGCCACACTGCTTTCCATAATGGTTGAACTAATTTACACTCCCACCAACAGTGTATAAACGTTCCCTTTTCTCCACAACCTTACTAGCTGTTACTGACTTTTTAGCAAGAACCATTTTGACTGGTGTGAGATGGTGTCTCATTGTAGTTTTAATTTGCATTTCTTTAATGATCAGTGATATTGAGCTTTTAAAATACGCTTGTTGGCCGCATGTATGTCTTCTCTTGGAAAGTGTCTTTTCGTCTGGGCATGGTGGCTCATGCCTATAATCCCAGCACTTTGGGAGGCTGACGCGGGTGGATCACCTCAGTTCAGGAGTTCGAGACCAGCCTGACCAATGTGGAGAAACCCCGTTTCTACTGAAATACAAAATTAATCGGGTTTGCATGCCTGTAATCCCAGCCACTCGGGAGGCTGAGGCAGGAGAATCGCTTGAACCTGGGAGGCAGAGGTTGTGGTGAGCCAAGATCATACCACTGCACTCTGGCCTGGGCAACAAGAGTGAAACTCCATCTTAAAAAAAAAAAAGTGTCTTTCATGTCCTTTGTCCATTTTTTAATGGGGTTGTTTCTTTTTCTCTTGTAAATTTGTTTAAGTTCCCTATAGAAGCTGGATATTAGACCTTTGTCAGATGCATAGTTTACAAATATTTTCTCCCATTTTGTAGGTTGTCTGTTTACTCTGTTGATTGTTTCCTTTGCTGTGCAGAATCTCTTAAGTTTAATTAGATCTCATTTGTCAAATTTTGCTTTTGTTGCGGTTGCTTTTGTCTTTGTCATGAAATCTTTGCCTGTTCCTATGTCCAAGATGGTATTGCCTAGGTTGTCTTCCAGGGTTTTCATAGTTTTCAATTTTACATTTAAGTCTTTAATTGATCTTGAGTTGATTTTTGTATATGGCGTAAGGAAGGGGTCTAGCTTCAATCTTCTACATATGGCTAACCAGTTATCCCAGCACCATTTATAGAATAGGTAGTCTTTTTCCCATTGCTTGTTTTTGTCAACTTTGTCAAAGATCAGATGGTCATAGGCATGCGGTCTTATTCTGTGTTCTTCGTTCTGTTGCATTGGTCTATGTGCCTTTTCTCTTGGTACCAGTACCATGCTCTTTTGGTTACTGAAGCCCTGTACTATAGCTTGAAGTTGGGTAACGTGATGCCTTCAGCTTTGTTCTTTTTGCTTAGGATTGCCTTGGCTATTTGGGCTCTTTTTCCATTCTGTATGAATTTTAAAATAGTTTTTTTCTAGTTCTGTGAAGAATGTCATTGGTGGTTTGATAGGAATAACACTGAACCTGTAAACTGCTTTGGGCAGTATGGTCATTTTAATGATATTGATTCTTTCTACCCATGAATGTGGGATGTTTTTCCATTTGTTTGTGTCGTCTCTGATTTCTTTGAGCAGTGTTTTGTAATTCTTATTGTAGAGATCTTTCACCTCCCTGGTTAGCTGTATTCCTAGGTATTTTATTCTTTTTGTGGCAATTGTGAATGGGATTGCCTTCCTGATTTGGCTCTTGGCTTGGCTATTGTTGGTGTATAGGAATGCTAGTAATTTTTGTATACTCATTTTGTATTCTGAAACTTCTCTGAAGTTGTTTATCAGTGGAAGGAGCTTTTGGGCTGAGACTACGGGGTTTTCTAGATATGGAATCAATGTTGTCTGCAAACAGGAATAGTTTGACTTCCTCTTTGCCTATTTAGATACCCTTTACTTTTTTCTGCTTCTAGACTGCTCTGACTAGGACTTCCAATCCTTTGTTGAATAGGAGTGGTGAGAGAGGGAATCCTTGTCTTGTGCTTGTTTTCAAGGGGAATGCTTCTATCTTTTGCACATTTAGTATAACGTTGGCTGTGGATTTGTTGTAAATGGCTCTTATTATTTTGGGATATGTTCCTTCAATACCTAGCTTATTGAGAATTTTTAACATGAAGGAGTATTGAATTTTATTGAAAGCTGATAAAGACAGTTTTAAAATGTTAATGAAAAATTTTGGAGAATTGTGATGTGGAGTTTCCACAAGAGCAGTCAGAGATTAGTGGGACCACATGCACACTGTGTACCTAGCTGCCAGAGGATCTGAAGGGAAGAAATAAGAATGGGCTAAATGAACATTATAATGTTCTTGCTTGTTTCCTGAATTGCAAAAATGTTTCTGAAATTCTTCTCAAAGTTGTCCTCTACTTGAATTCCCAGTGTAATGAATTTATCTTCCTGAAAAAGCAAAGAAAAAAACATTAATAGCAACGATTATTCAATGAGCGGAGACACCCAGTGTTGCAGATAATCCAGGGCCTTGTTTTAGGTTATCCCAAATGTTAAATGAGAATTAATCTAGTTAAGAATTGCTTATGTTCCCTGACAATTTAATTATTTATCTTTATCTGGAAGGCAGAGAAGTCGAAATATTACTACACTGAAATCTAATTCCTGATCAAAAGCTTATGGTTTAATTTAAGTTTTAAAAATTCTACTTGTGTGATTTTTATGCACAGCATTTTTTTAGCAACGTTAATATAGTGCAGAAATGTTTAAGGCCATTTAATAATGTCTTCCTTTTCCCTTCACTCTCACCCCTTGACATAATCCTTGTTAATTTCTGAAATGGTGCCAGGAAATTCAGATGTAAAGAAATCCAATATTTTGACATTTGAGACCTTTGATTTGGTATATTCCTCTAGAGAAGAGAAACACTTTAAATGCCTTTAAAGTGCACTTCTATTTCTAGTAGAAACAAATGAGTCTGCAGCCTACTGTTCTCTATGGGTGAAAACAAACCATCTAGAAATGAGTCAACTCTGAGGTTATAGGACCATGTTTGCAAGGGCACCTTCCAGTTCGTTGTTATTTTCCCCACATGCACCACAGGGTTTTTAGGATACTTTCACGATTTGTACTTGTATGGGCTTGTCATATGATAAGGGTGATTGTAACATTTACCTGATATGAAAAGATGAGAGGGAAAGTGACTTTAAAGTGATGTAATTGAAAAAGAAAAGGAGGCAGGGAGAGCCACTCACCCTGTAAAATTCCTTGTGGTTATGAAAGATGAGACGCATGTCCTGCACAAACCCTTCTACTCGGGAGTATGCCTGCTCATTCAGGTTTCTCTTGACTTTGTTTAACCACATGGGCTTCTGTGGGCCCTGAGACCTCTCTTTGTTCTGTTGAGAAAAAGACCAAAGTGAGGCTATCAGCCTGGTGCCATAGACTCCCACCATTATGGAATAAAGGTTTGTGGGGTCCCCCAATCCATAGGTCAAAATCCTAACCCCCCTGTGAAGGTACTAGGAGGTGGGGCTTTTGGGAGGTCATGAGGTAAGAAGGGTGGAGCCCTCACAAATAGGATTAGGACTCTTATAAAAGAGACTCCGGAGAGTTCTCTCCTCTTTCTGCCACTTAAGAACACAGGGAGCAACCCTGTGTTGTCTCTGCAACCTAGAAGATAGCCCCTCTCCAGAACCCGACCCTGCTGACACCTTGATCTTGGACATGCAGCTTCCAGGACCGTGAGAAAAACATTTCTGCTGTTTAAGCCACCGAATCTATGATAAATTTTTATAGTAGCCTAAACTAAAAACTCATCAACAAGGCAAATAGAATGGCACCTTGTACCGTGGGATTCAGATCACAGATTTGACAAATGCCAGTATAAGCATTTTTTTTGGGCTGTTACTTACATAATATGGTTCTGAGGCAAAAAAGGGGCTTTTTGGATCAGAGTAGACCTTCAAGAGGAGGAATTCACATTTCTGCAAAAGACGGAGGACATTTCAAGTTAAATGCAGTTTAGAGAGAAAGAGCTCCTATGCATGCCCAAAGAGAACACACAACTCCCAAACCTGTGGACTCTTTGAAGCAAACATGGCATGGGGAGTTTCTTTGGACTGGGAATTTTCTTTGGAATATGAATTGTAGTGTTAGGTCACGGAGAAAAGCACACCATGGGCCAGGAGTTTGCTTTTGGGCTCCATTCCTTGAGCTTTTTGTAAGACTGTGCTTCTCCTGCCTAGGTGAACAGAAAGGAGGAGGCTTCAGGTTCACATTTTTACTCACCAACTGCTCCTCGGGCAGCATCTGCCTCATCAAGACTTCAGATTCCTGATGCCATGGTTGGCTTTCTGGGCATCTTTCCTGAATAGTCTTTATCCTGCAGAAGATGCAACTCCACGGGTTCCTGAGAGATGGGGCATAAAGTGAACAATGGCAGGTTCTGTGAATCAGCTGCCATTCTTACAGTTGTTCAAGTCCTGTGCTCAAGAATGCCTGGTGGTTTCCACCTTGTATCTAACTTCTCTCCTGGAGGCCTCTGCACTAGAGCCCCATTAGGACTCAATAGCCAAAGGCATGCCCTTCCACCAATAGCAATAGCAGGGGTGATCATCTATTGGGTGAAGTGCCCTGTGAGTGACGGAGTCTCATTCACCTCAAAACTTAGGGTTCCCATCTGAGCCACTGGGAACTTGATAATGAGCACTGTTTGCCACGGTTATTGGAAATGAGTACCTTAAGCACAAAGTGTTGGGCGTCTGTGAGTCAATCAGGTCATAGAAAAATCAGAAAACAAACTCTTGTTTCTCGACTTTGCTGAGTAAGCACAGAACACAGGCTATAGGCATCCTCTCCCTCGGCCCTGCCATATCTCACACCTAGAATCTGTGCTGCAGAAACTTCTTGAAAAGGAAATCTCTGGACACGGTGTCAGACATCTTCCATTTGCTCCTAGATTCATTCTCCAACCTTCTTTACTAGGCCATCTGTGCTAGGAGGCTGTTGATAATCAGGCAAGCACAATGAACCATCCTAGTGATGCCAGCATCTCCTTGGCCATGTAGTGCTTGCTCAAGGAGCCTGTTACAAAGTACTCCTCTGAGAGCACTTTGCAACTCTGGTGCAGGGATGGGGGCTATACATGGGCTCAACCGAAAAGCTGATTTTTCTTCTGCCTCTGCAGATTGCCCAACTGGTCAAAAGCAGAGGTTTATGCTGATCCGCTGAGATGACACTCTGGGAGCAGGTGGGTCACATTAGCCTTCTCCATTACGGAAGGGCAATGCTCTGCCCTCATAGAGTCAGACACATTCCAGGTAGAGATCATCCTCTCAGCCTTAACAATTCTGTCCACACACCACTCACAGAGCACCTTATCAGTCTCCATGGTATCCTGCATACCATCACCTCTGTCCAAAGGCACATGTTTTAGCAAAGGAAGTGAGCCAGGGACTCACAGTTGCAGAATTCACAGGTCTCGACATGTGACTTGTGACCCAGAGTCAGTTGGCTTGATAGACTGCTGCAGCACTGGCTTTACCAGCTGTGTGATGGTCCCACAGCAGGTGGCATATGCTTTAAACCAGCAGGCAGTGTATGATGGCATCGCCCCATCAGAGAGCATGGGTCTCGGAGCCAAGTAGGGGAGGCAGAGGTTGACACCTCTTTCTATTGCACTCAATAACCACTTAAAGAGTTTTTGCTTCCCATTAATCTGCTGCTGCCAGCACTGTTCAACAGCTCTGGATAATACTTGTGGATCCTGATACTAAGGAGCCTGCCCCTTATGCATCAAGAAACACATAACCAGGTACAGAAACTGCAGAGTACTCATGAGTGGCAGGAGGAGCTGTACCACAAGAAGGAAGGGCTCAGGGAAGGGGACACATCTTACTCACTTGTCAGCTTCCACGGGCGGGATGTGGCAGTGCTCATGAAAGGATCTTGGACAAGTGTCGCAGCAGAACAGCTGTCCCCATTTGTTGCACACTCCACATATGTTTGAGTTTTCCGGCTAGAAGGGGAGATGATGTAGACATCACTGGGATCAGTGGGACCCTAGAATTTGTGACCTTTTTATGTATCAAGGGCACACTTGTAAATTTCTCTCCACAAAATATTAAGGATCGCAGAGTGGAGATCTCAGAAGACATTTCGGCCTGCAGCAAAGTTCAGTAGATAGTGGCTGTGTGTCAGGCCAGAAAAGTTTTCTTTATGAAAGCAGAGATTCTGACATGATGACTAGTGACAAACATAGGATGCATTAGAGATGATTTGAGCAATTTATTAAACAGCTGGCAAAACCTGGCCCAGAAATAGAGTCTTTTCTAGCTGTCTACATTGTATCCTTTAAACTGACTTGTCAAAGGGTGATTTACTGAGAATTTAATACAATGGAGTAAACTTCCGAGATATCACTTCAACCCACACTCTTGCCATAGCAAGAATGAGTTGAAGAAAGGGCTTGGGGAGGAGTTCCTGGATGTCAGTTCTCTGCCTGGAGGGCTCTGGGCCTGCAGCAGTACCTCTGGGATGGAAAAACCATGGGCAAGATGATCAGGTGGGCACGAGGGAGTACAGGGCTTTTTGCTTTTTGCTCTGGGAACCTGGAGGAAGAGCCCCCATGACTTAGTCAACTTCGCATGTAAGGTGTTGTAATTTCTCTTCATCTACAAAGTCACTATACAAAGAAGAGACTAAAGTCACATATATGAAAAAAAATTCTAGGCTGCAAGATGTATCTTGCCCACGTATTCTCCTTCAATGGCAGAACTTGAGTGGCCTATTAGGAGTCACTTCTTGGGCACATCTCCACGCGGGGGTGGGGGGGTACCCGAGCTTCCCCTGGAGTGGGGCCTTGTAACTGTTTTTCGTTTTTGTTGTAATAGATGAGATTTATCAATGCTGACCACTATTTTTAGGCTGCTGGGTCAAGGTTTCTGATCCATCATCCTATCAAGTACACTGCAAGTGGGCCCCAGGAAAGAATAAATACCACAGGCAAATCCTATGTTTGAAGTTCCATTGTCTAGGAAGCCTGCAAACTTGGTGTATGTCTCTTTAATCTTTTCAGTAAGAATTTTTTTCTTTTGTTTAGAAGTGGTTCTTAACTTGCTCTACAGTAGAATCCCCTGGGAGGAGTAAAAAACATCTCTGGAGCCCCATTACCAGAGATTTTGATTCAGTTAGTCTGGGTTGGGGTATAGGCATCAGTACGTCTTAAATGTTGTCCAGATGGTTCTAATGTGCAGTCAATAGTTGAGAACTCTGGCCTCTAATGCAGTGGTCTCTGGACCAACAGCAGCAGCGCCTGGAACTTGTTAGAAATGTACAACCTGGGGCGCTGCCTCTCACTCACTGAATCAGAAGCTTAGGGGTAGGTCCCAGCCAGCTGTGGTCTACCAAGTCCTTCAGGTGGTTCTGATGGAGCCTACGCAATTGTGGCAATTGTGACTGAACTGCATTGCACTACAGTGACTCACAACTTTGCTTGTGCTAGAAAAACACAAAACACTAGAGGAGCTTTGGAAACACCAATTCTCAGGCAGCATCTCAGACCAATAACATTGGAATCTTTGTGGGTGGTGGGGGCGGGATCCCCAGGTGATTGCAATGTGCAGCCAAGGTTGAAAACCCACATTACAAAGTGGTTTCTCCTCAGTAAGGGCTGGGAGGTTTTAACTAGAGTCATTAATAGCCTACAAGTTTGCCTAGGAAAGTTTTTGAAAAGGGATGAGGACTTTCTTGCTGCAAGAGTTGCCTTTTCCTTTTCACAGAGGGCTTGGCTGTGGGCTGTAAGAAATGGCCTTATGGGTCTCCCTTAGTCATCAAACAAGTTATGCAGCCCCCAGAGATGAGAGCTGTTTGACTACTGAAGGTTCTCATCTCCAGCAGAGAAGCGGAAACAGTGTGGATCGATCTAGATCTTGCTAGGGAAGTGCATTGGCTAAGAAAACAGAGGGCATGGCAACCTCTTTTCTATCCCCTCTCAATTAGCGTCTTGTACCAGTCTAGCTGCATGGCATTTTCGTTTTGAGACAGGGTCTCACTCTGTCACCTAGGTTGGAGTGCAGTGGTGCGATCACAGCTCACAGCAGCCTCAACCTCCTGGACTCAAGTGATCCTCCCACCTCAGCCCCTGGAGTAGCGGGGACTACAGGTGTGTGCCACCATGCCTGGCTAATTTTTGGTATTTTTTTGTGGAGGTGGGGTTTTGCCGTGTTGCCCAGGCTGGTCTCAAACTCCTGGGTTCAAGTGATCCTTTTGCCTCAGCCTCCCAAAGTCCTAGGATTACAGGCATGAGTCACTGTGCCCAGCTTACATGGCATTCTTATAGTGAAACATGCTCCTTGCAGTTTTGCAGAAGGCTGATCCTGCCTAAAATGCTCATCTCATTGCAATGAAAGGAATCAAAATGTGACTTTGTTTAGACAGGGAAGTCACCCATGATTTTGTTACTGAAATACCAGGGGTTCAGTCTAGGTCCTGCTGCTTGCCACACAGAAAGCCAATCACTGAGACAATGAGTATTGCCAAGGAAGAAGGCTTTAATTGGGTACTGCAGCCAAGGAGATAAGAGATCAGTCTGAAATCTGTCTCCCTGACTCACTAAAGTTAGGGGTTTATATAGCAGAAATGTATCTACATGCAGGGAAGCAGGAATTAGGGAGTGGTAAGGAGGAGGAGTCGGTTAACAGGAAGCAGATAGTTGGTTAGGCAGTCATAAGGGGTGAGGAGTCTGGCATCTCATTGTCCAAATACAGTGATCTGGTGAGTTTCAGCCCCTTGATATTACGTGGGAGGTCTGATGGTTGGTTTCCTGAGAAAGAACTCAGATAAGACAAATGCAACTCTCTCAAGTTTCAAGACTGAGAGGGTCAATTTCTATGTTTATTCAAAATAAACTGTAAAAATCAGATTTACGGGACAATTGGGTTCATTTCAGTGCCCCTTTTCTGTTTATCAATTCCTCAGTCATGGGGAACCTGGTCATCAATCTTTCTGGCTGCTTTATGCTAATGAGGAGTGTTGTGGGTAGCTCCATACCATGGATGACCCACATAGCCACCCAGAAATCAAAAGTTAACTGAATACTATAGGTTTCTTCTGAAATATACTCTTTTTCTCTCCAGTCTCCCGCTTTCACTAAAGACAAATCACAGCAGGACCAACCTACCTGCCAAATAAGCTTCAGTCCCATATACTTGGCTTATTTACCCACACAAAGTGCAGCAAGAACCATTGTCCATATAGGCTATCTTAAACTGGCTTTGCTGGAACCTCTCACAAGGCCGTTTCAGTCAAAGCCCTGGGAAAATGACCAGTTCTTCCAACTGTGTTTTATTATAAAAGAAAACATATTCTTTTTTTTTTTTTTTTGAGATAAAGTCTTGCTCTGTCACCCAGGCTGGAGTGCAGTGGCGTAATCTCAGCTCACTGCAAACTCTACCTCCCAGGTTCAAGTGATCCTCCTGCCTCAGCCTCCCGAGTAGCTGGGACTACAGGCATGTACCACCATTCCTGGCTAATTTTTGTATTTTTAGTAGAGACGGGGTTTCACCATGTTGGCAGACTGGTCTCAAACTCCTGACCTCAAGTGATCTACCTGCCTTGGCCTCCCAAAGTGCTAGGATTACAAGCGTGAGCCAACGCGCCCAGCAGAAAACAGATTCTTATTAAACATATGCAAACACATTGCCATGAATTAATAATATTCACAATTAGCTTATGAATTCTGGAGAAATTAGGCATGGAGAGAAATATGCCTCAAATTTAGTTTTCAAGAGTAATGCTCTTCTCAATTGTTAAAGGCAGCAATGTTTCAAACAAAAAAAATCCATAAGAAATTATTTCTGGCCTCCGTTTGTTCAGTGTATGCAACTAACTCCTGCTCTGCTTCATATTAGGTTAGTAAACTTTATGAACATATCAGTTTTTCAATTAGTTTCTTGGACGTTTTCTCTCTCTAATCTAATAGAACAACCTCCAAAGTCATCAGAAACCTTCATTAAAGAGTCCTTTTCATGAACTCCCCCAAAGAAGCAAACCATGGACTGTAGCTGATTATAAGTTACTTTTTGAGAAGAATCAGTATAAAATAATAATTGTAGATGTCAAAAGTCTTAAGCAAGCCATAGTTAAAGACACAGTTGACGAGGAAATTTGATTATTTCTGTGACATATAACAATTCAACATAATAAGCATAATGATTACTGATGACATATATTAAAACATGAAAGAATTTTAGGAATCTCATACAATCCTGGAACATATATTAGCAACACATCTATATAAACATAAACCCAAAGAAGTTAAACACCACCTCAGATGTGACAATGCTTTCTGCATAATCCTAATGTAACAAATAAGCCAATAAGCCTAATATATCTCTCTTGAACTTCAGGGAAACTAAGATGCAAAAAAGTTAATTTGAGGTCAAAAAGACTGAATTTAGAACTTGAAATTTTTACTCTTGGAAAGTCTGTCAAATATCGAAGTTTTAAGACATTTGATATTACAAAATAGGATCCACAGGTCACTGTAAAGTAGTCATTGATTTAGCCAAGAAGATGAAACAAAACCTTTACCCTTTTAGAGAGAGTAGACTCAGTTTCCCAAACAATGAAACCTAATAAAGACAGCATGAAGCCAACTAAATGTCTCTCTTTCCTCCTGTTTTCACCCTTTAGTTATTCAAAAGGTAAATAAAAATCTTTCATTATCTCTCACATGAAAATTTTGTTCAAAAGAGAAAACCAAATTTCACCTTTGCATGGTGTATTATTAATATTAAAAGTCATTTTTAAAACCTTATAAACAATTTTAATTTTAATCAGTTTGATCCTAACATAAGATCTCCAGAAACATTTTACAATTTTCCATTAAAGATCAGATTAATGCTCCAAGAAAATGCTATTGTTCTGACACATGGTCCTAGACACCAGCCTCGTATCAGTGTGCTTTTGATATTAACATTTAATTTATAGAAAAACCTCGAATCTCACATGTCCACG